AGAAAAAAGAATAGAGCAATACTGCGTTTATGTCATCTCAGAGTACACTATCTCTACATAAGGATAACAAAATTTGAAGCTGCCTTCTAGAAAATCTTGTTTTTGCAATTTTTTAATATTGCACATATTACACGAAAACTACTAGAATTTTCAAAACAATGAACCATACCTTAACGAACTCAATATGAAGAACAAGTTTTACTTGAAAAAATCTCTACATTCAATTTTGAAGTTGTAGGATAATGCCGGGAAAAAATCTCTCGACATTTTCGAAAATTCAGTGTTAAACGTGAAAATCGGACCTATGACACTTTATAGGGATATTTTACTCTATTTTTACAAGAAAGTTACCGGGAAAGATGGCTCAGGGCATCAACTGATTTCACTGCAGTCCCTCTGACCGGGAGGTCCTTGGTTCGAATCCCGACGGTGACAGGATTTTCGACGCTACTTTGTTACCGAGGTCGAATTCAGTTGCTGTGTGGAGGAGAATTCTAGCGACCGGCTGCTCTGATCGGTAGTTTTCCGTGGTTTCTCCGATCACCACCAGGCCAATGCTGGCAGAACCCTAACAAACAGGCCGCGCGCGAGCTCACCATCTTCCCAGTCCTATCCTCCCCCCTTACACACACACACACACGAACATGCACTACATTACTACATATCCCGAGGGACCCGTCAGGAGCTCATAGCTTTTTCTGGCTAGGGGCGGTGCCCCGTTGGTGAGAAGTACCTGGTTAGGAAAACCCCGCTAGCCAACGGTAGGTCGGCGCTGGATCTCGCCATAAAGCGGGGGAAAGACCATCGCCACCTCGCGAGCAAACAACATGCATTACACTTGCGGGACTAATGACCCTGGTAGTTTACGTCCCCAGAATCACTAAACCATCAATCAAAATGCAAGAAATTTAAAGAAATAAAGTTTAAAACTGATATTTTGATTTTTGGGGCGTTTTTATGCGTCTGCCAGAGTTTCATCCATACGGCGCTTCCGTGGTCTAGTGAGAAACCAGATGCTCTCCTATATCTCGTGGGGAAGTGATGAGATTTCCGTTCAGGAACAACGTTGTGACGTTCGGAGGGGTTGTCTTCGGCGGACCTTTCGCCATACCACTTAGGCGTACAAGAAAGAGAAGGAGAGGATCTCCAAGACTTGGTTTTATTTTCGCGAATGGCTTTTCCTTGTCAAAGCTTGTTTCCACTCACGGGCCGCGATGGCGCAGTTATCGTTCCAGGAGGCCGTCGTGATCGGCCCGTCTTTCTCACGGCGAATGGCGCTACGTCTGGACTCTAAGAAGGATGTTTACATACCTCTCACTCGAATAGCTGCAACAGTTTGGACGTTTGGCGGGCCGTGTGAGGTGTCGCGTTATCGTGCAACAAAATCACACCGCACTCAATTTTACTTGACGCTTTTCTGTAATTGCTTTATGCAACTGTTTCAACGTTTGACAATAAGAAGCTGAGAGTCTTGCCTTTCGACATAAATTTCACGCGCAACACACCCTCCATGACAAACAACACTGTCGCCATTACCTTTCCAGCTGAAGGTTAGATCTTGGCTTTCTTTCTTGGTGGTGATGTAGTGTGCGCCCATTCCATCAATGTTCTCTTTGCTTGGTGGACTCACGTTTCATCCCCTGTGATGATTGACCGCAGAAACGTGTTGCCCACTACAGAATTTCGTTGCAATACTCCCAGTGGCGATTGGAAACGTGGTCCCTTGAGAACATCGGTGAACAGACGTAGGACCCACATTTGATAAAGTTAACAAAATTAAAGGTACTGGAGAACACAATGACATACGAAATGTTCAGCATGCTGGCAATTTTCTGCTGTGTTATGCACTGATTCTCTCTAATGATTCCACCCACACGGCCAACATTTGCATGGTACTGGATGCTGCAGGGTTGCATTCCCGATATTCGTCCGTGAGATCCGCCAAATTCCTTACACCACGTTACAATACCTGGGCGAGAAATTGCACTCTCTCCATATTCCGCAGTGGTTTCACGATGAATTGAGCAATTGAGCCATTTAGCTCATAGAAATCTGATCGCCGTAGCACCTCCAATTTGGAGTGAACATACATTGAGCCAATCACGCTCTGCACAAACAACACGACGGCTTACCACACCAACCTTCCTTTTGGACGTGTCAGCAGTTACTGTAGTTTGTGCTGTGACCGTGGACTATGCGCAGCACAGTGTGGTCTCGCGGCGAGTAGTGTAACGAACTTTTGATTCGCCTACGTAGATCAAATAACGACTGTTAATTCCATTGAAGCGAACGTTGCCTTTGTACTACCTTCATTGAGCAAGAACTCACACTTGAGAGACAACCCTGAGGCCGTGGTATTTCCTACAGTTATCTTCGTTCCCACGTGGAGAGGCAGTCAACGCATGCGCCGTACGAGCCTCTCTTTCCCGACCCTTCTATTGCGAACTGAGGAAGCTCTGCTATTTTAAGATTACACCGAGTGCTAAGATTTCTGGCTCAGTTTTGTTGATTGTTCCAACACATTTTTCTACTTCGTTTCTGATAAACTGAAAAACGGAGAAAATGTGTAATATAAATGAATAAACATAGTCGCAATTAAAATATTTTCCTTGTTCATGAGCGTAAAGTCGTTGTTTATTTCCTTAATATATTTTTACGTTAACAGTTCTAAATTTTGAGAAAATGTGTCATAAAGAATAATTATAGTACGTGCGTCTATATTATTTCTTCAATTATCAAAATTATGAAAACCGGAAGATTTAAAATTGGGTTTTTAGTTTTGCAAGTGTTAAGGACAGTCAAAAGAGTAAACGTATTATTATTTTGTAATTAAAACAAAATCACGGCAAGAAGCAAGTTTCTCGCGCAACCCGTGCAACGAAATCGAGTCTCCGCGTTCTCGTAGCACGGATTCTCGTGGGTCATACACTAGATCAGCAGTTCTCGCTTATGACAGCGAGAGACAATGCGGCAAATGACCGCCTTAAATAGACAAATATTTAGGAGCTAAGGAGATAAGATTAACTTAAATAACAATTTTTGAAATAAAAGAATATGGAAAGGAACCGAATAGGGGTCATAATGGTTAAAAAAGAAATGATTCAGTAAACTTTGTTTGGTGCGCGCCATTGTGAGGACAGTTATGGCCCCTTTCCCCCACCTCCCTCCAGCCCAAGGGCACATTCAAGACGCACACTCGTTGCTGCAGCTACCTTTGTTTACGTGCGGATGGCTCCGAAGAAAACTTAAATGCGCAATTGGTTTTGACTATACACAGGGCACACGTAATCTAAAGAGCAGGGAGATGCTACGCATTGCCGCGTGGAGCGGATGGAAGAGAGATGCGACACGTCTGCCTAGTAGAGCGGACCGCGAAGGGAAATATCGCATTCGTCCGCAGTGTGATTACGGTATTAAGGACTTTGGATTTTTAACCGAACTGGAATTGGACACGATCATGTCGGGTCAATAAGTGCATGAGCCGTGATTAGGTACCCACGTGGTATAATTTGATAGCCAGGAGTGTTGCTTTACGCCACCATAAAGTAAATTATCGTAATTCATGGAATAAAGTTCCGTGAATTTTTCAAAACATGCCATCTCAATTAAAGACTAATAGATGAGTTCACCAATGACTTTGGTGTGACGTATGGGGTGACCTGGAATCGACAGCACTCTGCGGACTCCGGTGAAATGCCGACGTCGCTGGGACTGTGAAAAGGGCCCTGGCTTAGTAGCCGTCTGGGAAGAACGCGGAGCCCGGACCTCTCTCCCCCCAGTGGAAACAGCAGAATGGTCGACGACCACCGCCACCGCCGCAGCACTACCCGCCGGCGCCGGCGCCCAAGAGTAAGGTGAAGTTTTCCGGCATTAAACCGTGCAAAGGTTTATCAAACCGCTCTTCAAGCGACTTAGGGAAGAAAAATATTCTTGACGACTCCTGAATGAACAGGAAAGTTTGATGATAATTTATGTATGACTTGGCGGGGCCGCGTAAAGCCCTTTTATTTTCTTTAGACAAATTTATCAGCGCAATCATAAATTCATTTTTATTACTAACCCAGGCAACGAGCTCACAGAAATTCAAATAAATAAAAACCCATCGAAACGTCACAGTATAGTATGATTTACTACCTACACTCAGTAACCAAGTATCTTTTTAAATATTAAGCATTGTATGCTATAAACTTTTCTAGTTAAATACTTTAGCCCGTTTTATGCAGTCTGTTTTCATTTGTTGTACAGTTGTTGTCATTGTCTGTTTTGTACAGAAAATGGATGGAAAAGGGACGCTCATTTCTACGCGCCACTGTTTCGGTATCGAAATTGAATGAATGAGAACGAGGGTTTTACATGGTCATTTCGTTTATGCATGTCATCGTGATGAAAATAATTCCTTTTAACGCAAAAATCGCTGAAGGCCAATTAGTTAAACATAGCACACGGTAACAAATTAAGTTATGTTATATCAGAACTGAAAACGGAATGAGACATTAAAACAGGACAGGTTTTACTTCTCACTTCATAATAATTTCAATACAAGAGAATGCTCTCGAAAATGTACAAAAGAAGCAAACCAGAGAACGTTTCAAAGAGCGACGCCAGGGGTACAGTAGGCTAACTGGATGAGGTCTGTACTGGAAAATTAAGCAAGCGTCTTTTTTTCGTACACATTACAACTCTAGTCTGGTCTATCACTTTTCTGTATGGACGCAAAATCTGGGGAAATTGTCGTGAAAATGACTATTTCAACCCAGAACTACATAGGCTAACAGAATCAATTCCAGAAAGATTTTTGAATATGCATTTAAAATTGAACGGCTCTAAAAAACTATTTTCTTTCATCGCCTAAGCAACACTCAAATTTTTAATGCAGACAACATATAATTTCTCGCCGCATACAAGAACTTCTTTCCAAAATTTATTCACTTTTAAAAATACATTAAATTTTCTTGGAATAACACTGGCTATATACCACGCGAAGAATGTCAAATACTTACAAGTTCTTCAGGGTTGTAACTCCTCGAAGAGTTTTACGCCCAACAATTTCAAGTTGATTGTGACTCAGGTCTCTGGAAAAAGAAAAGAACCAATGGAAAATGATTAAGTTATCTCGAAAATTATATCACACAGTTATTTTCCCAGCCAACAAAAAGATCATGAATAAGTCGCGAATATGCCATCATAGGGCCAAGCGATACGTGCATCTCTCAGGACTCAGTCTTGAATATCGGAGTAGGTTCACGATACTTTCTATTGGGGGAATCAGCATTTTAACGATGATTCCATGTTTACACTCCACGGTAGTTAGCCCTGGGGGGTGCGGTGAAGTTGAGATGATGAAATAGACACAATGATACAGACCCATACAGACAACACACCCATGCCCGAAGCGAGACTCGAACCTGCGATCCTTGGGTCCAAGACCACTGCACTATTGCCTTAGGTCATAGGATTATTATAATAATAATTATATTATTATTATTATTAATTATATTATTATATTATTATTATTTTATTCTTCACAGCTTTTTACTGGTCGGTATGTTAACCACTCCCAGTAATGATGACCAGGTGTGAGGTTGCTTTATTGAAGATTCAGGTGGCTTCTAAGAATACAAGTATTCAAGATGACTGCCTTTTGTAAATTGTATGTAATCCTGGCACCCAAGTGAAAAGACTAGTGCTTGAAGTGTCATTTTCGGGATCACTCTTGTGGCTGATATTATAGGTACAGTAGTCACCCAGCTGAAGTTCCACTGAGCAGAGACTTCATGGGCGAGATGGGTGTACTTCTGGATCTTCTCTAGATGTTTTGCCGATATGTTGTGTGTGTGTGTGTGTGTGTTGAGTATTGATATATCGATAAGGAAAGTCTGTTGATGGTTTCTATCGATGTAAGTTATATCGGATCTATTGCCGCTGACTTGTCTGTCAGTGTTAACTGAGTGATCCCAGTAGAGAGTGTGCTCACTACTTTTAAGCACGTTCTGAGGTACATATTTATAACGTGGAAGTGGTGAGAACGCCCGTTTTCATTACTAATAAGTGGTGTACCCGCTTCGCCACTTCATCATGCCTTATTTTATTCAAACTCTGCGTGGCCGCTACATCCACTTGTCAAGTGTTGTATAGTTTCCGTTACGGCCCACATCTACAAGTGTCGGAATGGATGGTCGAATCTCTCAGAATGTTCTTTTTTTTTAGTTCAAATTCCGCACCACTTGGTCCTGAATCATGAAGGCTTCAGTCTCCGGAAAGAGATCTCCATTCTGAAGCCATGCGTGAGACGCAGAGATATCGACTTCTGATTTACTCAGCTCATGGGGGTATCTTCCGTGCAGTGCCTTCGCTTTCCATAAGGTTATCTTCTCTTCGGTTTTCAGTCACTGGCTAAAGAGGTGGATCAATCTTTTTCAAGTTCATCTATACTTATTATCAACTGCTCTCACTGCTTGCTGAACTCTCTCATAATGTTCCAGGAAGTATCTTGAGTGAGAAATTTGAGAGCTATGTAAATATATGAGATCTTCAACACCTCGCCCTCCTTGTGATGTTGGAAGGATAAAACTCCCAATACTTGAATGGGGATGATGTATTCGGTGTTGAGTCAGGTTCGGATTATCCTCTGGGGGTTGGCGAGGCCAGTATTGCTCCATTTAATATGCCAAAAGGGTATGTCACTAGAATAACAAATGAATTGATGGCCTGCACAATATTTCAGCAGCGAGGTGAGTTTTAAAGAGTTCATGCAATCGTTTACACATTTTAGTTGTTCGTATGTTCTTAGTGGCAATGTGTTAGATTTAGAGTGACTGTTGGAAACCCAAGTATTTGTATGGGTTTCACGAATGTAACCATTGGTTCATTATCATTTCCACATTTATAACTTGCCGATGACCCTCAAAAATATGCACTTTCCTGCACTTATCCAAACCGATGTTCATCTTGATATTGTCAGTGACCTTATTCGTCACGCTTATGTTGCCGCATATGATTCTCAGTGTCTACATAGAACTTCAGGTCATCCACGTAAAGAAGACACGAGACACGAAAAAGAGTTGAGTTCTCTTTTTACGACCAATGCCATTATTATATGCATTTAATAGAGTAGACAGAGGATTCAAGGCTAAGAAGTACAATAAAGGGTTTCAAGAGTCACCCTGGAAAATCACTCAGCGGATGTGCATAGTATCTGTGTAGACTTTTCCCACAGAGAGGCACAGTTTTGTATTCCATCGACTCCTCGCTGTTTTCAGGAACTTTTGGATAAACGGGTGGACCTTGTATACACCCAAACATTGAAAGAACCAAGAATGGGGGACTGTGTCGAATGCTTCAGCATAATCTAAGTAGCATGCGTACAAATTTCTTTGTTTTTCAAACATTATCCCCATAATTACAGAGTTTATAATGAGTTGCTCCTTGCATTCCTGATCCAGGTCTACATCTTTTCTGTTCCTTCGGTAAGATGTTATGATCCTCAATATGTGCCATCATCATTTGTATAACACAAGATGTTATGAGTGTGTAGAAAGTTTGAAGGCAGGCTATAGGCGTGTACTTCGAGGGGTTTTTAGTGTCACCCTCCTTTGGTAACCAGAACGTTCTACCTTCAGTAAGGAAGCAAGGCAGATATTCAGGATTGTGAAGAAAAGATTGAATTATATTAGCTATATGATGGTAAGTGCTGGTAAATTTTTTTACACAACAATTGTGCAGGCCCGGTGCTTTGCAGTTATGTGCTTTGTTCAAAGGTGCTTCGACAAGTTCCTCGGGAATGATTGCTTCATCCACAAGAAGGGTATTTCGGCGTCGGTCATATTGCATTACAATCCAAGTCATAACTGGGTTGTGAGACACAGCAAGTGACCAGATAGCCAAACGTCCTCTATCTGCGCCTTAAAAGGAAGCTCTGACTCTTTCATATCACTTACAAGCTCTTTACCCTTTGAAGATTCCTGCCAATAGCGACGCGATCATCATCGGGAACTCGAACATACGAAGAGAAAGAGTGGGGGAACGGAAGTTAACTTTATACTTGAGGGAGAGAAAAATCGTACATTACATTACTACTTCTATTATCTACTTCTACTTTCTTTCTAGGGCGGGAGCCAGTCACGGGAAGAGGTGCGAGCACCTTTGGGGGGACTTAGGGAGAAGAATTTTTTTAGAGAGGTGGTGTGCACCTCCGAGGACGGGGATTGAATCGAACTTTTGATTCGAGGGGAAGTGCAAAAGCACTTATAAGGGAATTGTCGAATCGTTTGTTATTGCGTATTCGCTGCAAGATTTCGCAATTACTGAAATTTTTATTCGAGTGGAATCGCATACGCAGAGGGAGACATTGTTGAGTGCTCCGCACCTGCGATCGGGGGCGATATACCCCTGCTATCTACAAGCTCCGCCGAAGCAGCCTGCAGACGTCCTTTCGCTGACGTCACTGACCACCGCCAGAGTCCACCAGAGGCCACCAGCCACCACCGACGCCCTCCTGGTGAGGTTGCTCCCCGACCGCCCACAAGCTTCGCCGCGCCCACCCGGGCCTTCTGAGCACATCTGCCACGGAGGGTTCCCACGGAGGGACTATTGTCAAAGCAGTGCCGCGCTAAGGCACAGAAAGGTCCTCAGGGACAACTCTGTAATTCTAACTATAAAATAATTTTGTATTCTTTTCTAGTTGTAAGCTGTTTTAATTTTAATCTTTATTTTTTTCTTTATTCAATCTTTTCTTTCTTTTTTTATTAATGTAACGTCCCTGGTACAGCTTTGTCCAGGAATAAACGTTGTCTTTTTTACCAGTAACCAAATTGTTTATTTTGAATGCCCATGAATTTAGTTAACAATTCCTTCCATCGCCTAATTTTTAAATGAGTAAAGGGAATAGAACCCACTGAGCTACGACCGGGCCGCTACCACGCATTTCCGACGATCCCACGTCGCCGGTAGATGCGTGGGGGTGTTACAATACGATTCACCAACCATCTTTCCCATAGTGGCATTCTTATTTTACTGCAATCTTTGTGGACAGTTGCTACGCAGCCAAAAAGCTTGGAACAGTTACTTCGTGAAGCCACAACAGCTGCACAATAAATTGCTGTGTGCACTTCGAATGATGGTCTTAGTTGTAGATGCTTTTATCATTCAAGACGTTGATAGCTGTTGCCAATTTCTTGTGGCACTTTGTGTGGGAATAAGATGGTTCAGCGGGTCAGTTTCTTCAAATTCCTCAAGTGCGACTGCAAATTCATTGCGAATCCTCATCTCTTCACTACTCTCTTCTTCAATAATTTCTGACATGCTTGTCCTAGAGTTTTCATAGCTGGTATATCTCCCCTGTCCTCTGATTACTAGGTACTGAGGAGTTAAGCATTTTTCTCACTTCTTCTTGGATTGCTTCCAGAACTGGTACAGAGAGGAGATTTTTCTGAACAGTTGCTCGACGCTGGTCCGTTATTCTTTGCTCACTAACTTCAGAACCAGGGAAACTGAAGAAATTTTTGATGTAGCTTCTGTCGGTATGCCGTAGTACCAGTCTCCATTTTGGTTGTCTGCGCCGAGGAGGCTGCAGGTTCGAGTTTTACGTAGGCATGGTCGTATTGGTGATTATCCCTTCACCACGCTTCATCATCCTATCAGTTCATAATTCACAATTCCAGTCATAACAAGCATGGCTTACCAAGGGACACAATCAAAAAAAGCTGATCCCCATAATGACACACGTTAATCTCTCCAGGATAAATATGATTGGGCCAAAGAAGAGAAGTAGAATGGTCATAAACAGCTTATACGGAAATATTACTAGTAATAATAATAATAATAATAATAATAATAATAATAATAATAATAATAATAATAATTTAACTCAACCTGTCACTCGCCTTCTGCGCTGACAACTAAGAGATAGGGACCTTTAAGATATTTGACTGAAAATTGTTATATAACACTCGTGTTAAACTAGTAAACTCTCTCGTAATAATATTACTATTATTATTATATAATACCGTCACAGCATGCACGTGACAGTGCCAAGCTAAAAATTTAAAAATAATGTAAAATTAAATTAAAAATC